GACGAAGTGGGGGTCGAGGACCAGGCTGGACATGGCCGCCGTCGTGGCAGGGCGAGTGTACGGGGCCTTGCGAAGGAGCGCGTTAGCCGGCCGACAGTCCAACGCCATGCGAAGCGTCCCTGTCTTCTTAGCCACGAAGAAGATCCCCGCGCGGGACGCCGCCCGGCGGCGGTGCGCGATGAGGCCCACGGAGTCGAGCTTGTCGATGATGTCGTCCAAGATGGGAGGTGACCGACGCGCGGCCGCTCATCCAAATTTGGTCGAACGGGGGGCGGGCCCTCGGCCTCGGCGGGCAAGACGATCTGCCGCGGGTCGTCGAGGTACGCCCTGGCGGTCTCGCCGACGAGCTCCGCGGCGCCCCGGGGCCGGATGTGGCCCTTCGTGACCGCGAGGAGCTCTGGGCGCCACAGAAAGGGTTGTGTCGCTCTCGTGCAGGTCTTTCGTCTTGAGAATCTCAGAAAGGGCCCCGTCTGGGTGCAGATCCGACTGGCGAGGCTGCGGCCCGGCGGCTTCTGCGGCGGTCGCGAGCCTCCTCCGCGCTGGCCGCTGCGGCCCTGAGAGCGGCTGACGCGGAGTCGCGTGGTGGAGCGGCCCTGGCGAGGGCGCGCCCCTGGCCCGGGCACCCGCCAGGGCATTGAGCGCCGAAGCCGCTTGAACTTGCAGCCGCCGCAGCCCGGGGTCAGGAAGCAGGAGGCCTGCGGCGCTCGGCGGCGCCGCGCTGTGTGAATTTGCATGGTCTGGTAGATCCAGAAGGAAAAGAGAAAGAGATGCTGCCGCCCCAACCTGGCAGGACAGCAGCGGCCGTGATCGTGGGGCAGGCCACGAATCAAGACTTGGTCCTGTCCTCCTTGCGCCTGTCCGTCGGTCTGCGAACAGTCGCTGCTGCTTCAGTGTGAACGCCTCCGTCTTCTGCTCCTCCGCGATGAACTTCGCGAAGTCGCCCGCGGTCGCCGCCGTCCCTGCGTCGAGGGCCGAAGAGATCATCATCTCGAGCCCCCTTGAAATCCGGGCTCCTCGGCGACCTCCGAGTCGCCCGCTCGATATGCATCACTCTCCTCGCAAGCATCTCCGCCCCCGCCAATCGGTGCACCTCCAGCTGGTCGAAGCAAAGGGTGTGGTGGAAGATGCTCAGCAGCGAGGCGTGGTGGTGCCAGACGTGCGCACCCAGTGGTCGTGATAGGTCCCAACCGTCTCCCCTGTCGAGCGAATCATCGTCATGAGCTCGACCGCGGCGCTCGGCCCTCTGAACGGCCAGTCCCCCTCGGTGCTGGATCCCGCTCCGTTGCTCGGGCCGCTCGCCGGGGTGCGCTTCTGGAGCGCCGCCATGGCGTCGCGAAACTCGATGTACCTGTGGTCCGGGCCGTCCCTGACGATAGGCATCGCCCGAGGATCTCTCCTGGCGGCCGACCTCTTCTCTTCCTTCCAGTCCTCCAGGTCGGCTGGAGCCACTCGCTCCAGCGCCGTCCAACGATCCTCGATGAGCCCCAGGGCCGTCGACCCCCGCTGCACGAACCGAGCCGGGTTGCTGGAGATCGCCGCGTCGACCTGCTCGCCGAACTGGTCCGCGCCCGTGTCCGAGACGACCCAGACGGCGACCCCCAGGCCCGGCGGCGAGGCGACCCCACCGATCAAGACCGCCAGCGACTCCCCCTGCTGCTGGAGGGCCTGCAACTGCTCCTCCGAAAGGTCCCTGAACATGTAGATGTCGCCCCGGACGCGGGGTGGAACCTCGCATCCTCGAGCGAGGGGCACGACCCTGTGTCTGGCCAGATCCAGCACCTCCACGTTGTAGTCGGGTGTCGAGACGACCCACTTGGTCCCGTCCCCCACCCGATTCAGCAGCAGCCTGTGGTGCAAGGTGAAGTTGTCGTCGTCCGGGAAGTCCATCGCGACCTGCGGGTTCCCCACGTCCAGGGCCAGCTCGCGCGGCCGCACAGCAGCCATCACTTCCTGCTACCCCGCGGCCGCCAGACCTCCCCTCGTCGGGAGTCTGGAGTCCAGAGCGACCTGCAGGACTGGTGGGCCCAACAGCGCTGAGAGCAAGCGGACTGCGAGGAGCAGGCGGGCCACTCGAGGCCACCAGCGGCCCGAGCGCGGCTCGGCCGCCGGGAGGGACGCCAAGGCTCGCGCCGCCCTCCGCCGCCGCCGCGAAGCGGCCGTTGCCCCACCAGGAGCACGCGCGGGCCGCCCACCAGAGCAGCGCCGCGCCCGTGAGGGGCAGAAGGCTGAGCACCCACAGCCCCAGTCCGGCGCCTGGCGCCGCGGAGCAGGCCGGGCACGCCGGCACGATCACCTCCGGGCGCGGAGGGGCCTCCGGGCAGGTGGCCGGAGGGCAGACCGCAGCCGGGCAGACCGGCTGCGGGCAGTGGTCCAGCTCGTGCGCCACCACGCACGGCGCCGGCTCTGGCGCAGGGTGGCGGCCGCCGAAGCCGCCCAGGAGGGAGCCCACGAACCCAGAGATCGCGGCGAAGGCTGGATGGGCGGTGCGCATCACACTCGGCTCTATCACTTGAGCCAAAAACTTGAGATGGGGCCGGCTACGATCGTGACAACGATAACATGGCACACCATCAATATGCCTATCTATGTGTCTTCGGGGGCCTCTTAGAAAGAGTTTTGAAGCCTTTTGGGTGCCGTCTTGGGGCATCTTGGAGCCTCTTTTGGGCTTCTGGGGGCCTCTTGGGGGCTTCCTGGGGGCCTCTTGGGGCCTCTTGGGGGCATCATGGGGTGCTTGATTTTTCAGTTTGCGTTCCCTCTCTTGGGCCCCTCTTGGGGCCTACTTGGGACCATCTCTGGGGCCGTCTCGGGGCTCTCTTGGGCCGTCTTGGGGCCCTCTTGGGGGCCTCTTGGGCCGTCTTGGAGCGGTTTGGGGCGCCTCTTGGGCGGTGCTTGAGTGCCGGAAACACGAAACAGCGAGAATACAACAAAACATTGAAACATACATAAACATCAACGATTTTGCCCTCTCGGGGCGCTCTTGGGCGGCATCTTAAAGGCCTCTTGGGGCGTCTTGGGGGCCTCCGGGGCAATTTAAAACGAATCGTGCGTCGCCAGAGACCCTTGGACGGCGTCTTGGGGGCGTCTCGAGACCATCTGGGGCAGCGGGGATTGCTGTCTGAGGGCTTCCCCGGGGCGGTTTTAAGTCTCCCAGAGGCGGGCCCAGGCCCCAAGACCCACATTTGCGGTCGAGGTTTCGGCCCTCGGCCCCCGGGCTCGGTGCGCCGTTATATGTATACGATCGTTTCGCTCACTCCTCCGGCCCATTTCGAATCACTGTGGCTGCGTGGTGGTGTGCTCGTGCCCAGGGGGAACTGCAGGGCAGGCAGGACGGTCTTCGAGGAGATCTTTGGAGATGTAGCTCGCACCTTGTCGACCGGAGCCGATCGACTGCCCCAGATGGCGCCAAGGTGGCTCAAAAGAGCTCCAGCAGAGTTTCGAGACGCACATGGGTTGTGGGTGTAAGCCTTCATGGATGCTTCTTGGGGTCTTTCCGGAGGGAGCCTCTGGGGAGCAGTTTTGAGGCCTTTGGGGAGCCTCTTGGGGGCCTCTTGGGTCTTCCTGGAGGACTGTTACAGGGAGTGAGGCCACTGGGGGCTTCCTGGGCGCGCCTCGGGGCCGACGCTCGAAATGTCTGTTCGGGGTCTCCCTCTGGGCACCCTGTTGGGGCCATTCCGGGGCCGTCTTGGAGGGCTCTTGGGCCGTCTGGGGGCCCTCTCCATTTGAGGGCCCCCTTGGAGGGAGGCTTTTTGGGCCGTCTTGGAGCGATCTTGTGGCCTCTTGGGCCGTCCAGTGCGGTCGGCAGCTGAAAAAGGCAGTGCCATCAAAATCGTCCGAAAACCCGGACGAAATCAAATTGCTGCATCTACGGGGCCTCTCGAAATCCTCTTGGAACCCTGCTGGAGCGTCTTGGGCGCTTCTTGGGCCGTCTTGGGACTAACGTGGGCTATCATGGAACGCTGTTGGCCTTGCCGTGGGGCGTGCCACCCTTTTGGCGCCTCATTGGGGCGCTCGGGAGGCCCCCGAGGCCGCGCCCGGGAGTTCCAGCATCTCTGGCCCGACCTTGCTGGGACCTTGCGGGCACCTTGCCGGGACCTTGCCGGGGTACTTGTCGTCCAGGGACCCCCAGGGGCCGCCGCGCGCGCGCGCGAACTAGAAACATTCTGAAACCCTCACCGGAGATTTTCGCACGCCTCTGGCCCGTTGGGCCGGCCAGTTTACTCCGAGACGCCCTGGCCAGAGAGGACCAACAACTCAGGAACGGCGGTCTCGCTCGAGACTGCCTCGCAATTCAATCAAGTTGGTAACGGCCCAGCTGCGACGACGACGGCTCCCGCTCGATACTTCCTTACACATTACTTGGAGACGCCCTGGCCAGAATTGCCCTCCGAAGCACAGGAACGGCGCTCTCGCTCGAGTCTTCCAAGCAATCCAACTCAGTGAAGGCAACGGCTCCCGCTCGATATTTATTCACAGTTAACTCAGAGATGCCCTGGTCAGGGAAGCCTCGAAACTCAGGAACGGCGCTCTCGCCCAACACTTGCTCACAATTCGATCAAGTTCTTAACGGCCAACCTGCGACCACAACGGCTCCCGCTCTATGCGTCCTCACAATTTACTCGGAGGCTTCCCCCAGGAGCTGGTATGACCCCAACCCCCAGAAAGGGGCTTGGTTCATAGACTCAGTGGGCAGGTACTAGCGAGATGGAAAAACAAGAGAAGGGCCAAAATAGCTTTTGGGATCGTGTGTTCGCCATATGGTCGTCGTCGTCGTCGCCGCCGCCGCCGTCGTCGTCGTCGTCGTCGTCGTCGTCGTCGTCGTCGTCGGCGTAACCGAAAACTGCTCAACATCTGCCTCCAGAGCCCTCGCCGGGTCGCTCCTGGCTAGCATCTCACCCCACATTTGATCTTTGCAGATTCGGCCCGAAAACAGCCCCCAGACGCGGAGAACGCAGAAACAGCCAGGTCGCCGATTTTTCGTCACCGTCGCCATGGCCGAAAGCCTCGGCGTGGCCGAGGCTGCGCCGCCCGGGGCCGCCACGATCAGCGGCTGGAACGCCGGGCCCGGGGCCAGCGCCGTGGCGCTGGGTTCGCGGTCGGAGCGCGGGTAGTCCTGGGCCCTGTGCCTGTCCTCGCGGGAGAGGGGGGGGGGCGATGCGAAGGTAGGGAGGGAGGAATTGTTTTGGCCCGATATGGGCATTGCAGTGTGCATGCCGCTGAAGCGAACGCTAGGGCTGAATGGAATCCTGGTCCTGAGGGCCAGGGCGGAAATCGAAAAACACGGGCCTCGCTACCCTGGGCATCGTTGGGACTGGGCGAAGGAAAAGTGCTGGGCCCCAAAACAAAAGTAATTAATGGCAATGGAGCAGGGACAGGAGAGACAAAAAGAGGGCCCAATAGCTTATCTTGCGCGATTGTATCAGCCTCCTCGGCGAGTAGCACTTCATATTCTACCACCCGGGCACGAATGCTTTAGGAAATGCAAGGGAAGAGAAGCGGAGCCGGGGAATGTAAGAAACATATCCAGGCGAAAGGCCCAAGCATATGCAAGTGTGAATACCGCAAGGCAGGTGGAACGAAAGAGGGGCAATTCCAAAAAGGACCACGGACCGTGTGAAGGGTGTAACAAAATAGGGCGGCACCGCCATGCGAACCCTGCCACTGCAGCCTTCGGTGGAGCTCCCCATGGGGCCACGAATCGTGGGAGGGGTGTGCCAAAATGAGGCGGGGAGCCGCATGCGAACCCTGCTGCTGGGGTTTTCGGTTCAACTCCCTACGAGGCCACGCACCGTGCAAGGGGTATTCCAGAATGGAGCGGCGCTGCCATGCGAACACTACCACTTGGGCTTTCGTTGGAGCTCCCTATGGGGCTACGAACCCTGTGAGGGGTGCGCTAAAATTGGGCGGCGCTGCCCTGCGAACCCTACCACTTGGACTGTCGGTGGAGCTCCATATCAAGCCGCGATACGTGTGATGGGTGTACCAAAATTAAATTTGGGCCGCGCCGCCATGCGAACCCTGCCACTGGGGCCTTCGGTGGAGCTCCTTATGGGGCCAGGAGCCGTGTGAAGAGTGTGCCAGAATGGGGCCACGAAGCGTGTGAGGGGTGTCCTCGGACAGGGGCAGGGATGGGAGGAAGGAGGGAAGGGGAGCAGGAGAGGAGGAGGAGGAACGCGGGGCGCTGTGTCTTCAAAACGAGGACCCAACACCACTGGATGGTTGGGACGAACACCCTGGCGAAGGGCCTAACCACACGCAGCTTCGAGTATCGCGGGGCAGGTGATGAGGAGGGGGGGCCGGGAACCACACTGCGGCGTTGACTGGGAGAGGCGTTGCGTTCCTGCCCGCCTGGCCCGCGGTGGCCCGGGCCCCAAGCTCCGCCGCTTTGTCCCTGCGCCCTAGTGACCGCGACTTTGGGCACCGCGCATTACGGAATGCCCCGCGACGCGCCCCCGCAATAGTCTCGGCGACGCGCGCGGGTTGTCTGCGACATGGAACAACAAAAACACTGATGGCTGACAACGGGCAAAACGCTGAGCAGAGCGCGCGGGCGTCGGGTAGCTCCTGGAGGCTGAGCGCCGGGGAGTCCCCACGAGCCTCTGGGGCCACGGTGCGCGTGGATGGTATACTGTGGACCCTGCCGCTGGGGCCATTGGTGGCGCCCTAAGGGGCCACGAAGAGGTACTGGGTACTGGGTAGGGGAAACGCATGTGGATCCTGTCGCTGGGGCCTTCGGAGGAGCTCCCTATGGGACACGGAACGTGTGAGAGGTGTGCCGAACAGTTGAAATGCGGAGGGCAGATGCAAGGATGGGAGGAGGAAGGGGTGGAGGAGGAGAGGAGGAAGGAACGCGGGGACTGTCTTTTCGAAACGAGAACCCAACACCACATGATGGTCGGGAAAGTGTGCTGGTATGGATGGCGGATCGTTGCACCTTAGCGAATCGTTGTACCTTAGCTGAGCAACCACGATGCCGTAAAAAACGCCCTGGCCAAGGCAAAGTTGCTCAAGCGAACCTTGTCTCAAGCGCGGGCCCAAGAGGCAGAGGTACGCCCGCGACGTGGAACGGTGGTTTGGGTGAGCTTTGCATCAAGCGCGTTCCGAACGAACGACCATCTCAGAGCGTGCCTCCTGCAATGGTGCGGTGCCACAAACGACACATCGGCATAGGAAGCCGGGATATAACGACGGGCCAGCACTTGTCTGCGGCGCGATTGCACTTTGCCTTGTGCCAGCGGCCCTGTCCGATGGAGAACGGAGGGCAGCGCGCATGTGCCTCTTTGGAACAGCGAGGCTAAGAGGTGGGGGCCTGTCTGCAGAGGCTCGCTGCTCGGGGGTGCGCACGGCGACAGTTCTTCGGGAAACGACGCAATACAACAACAGGCGCGCGAGTGGTAGCGGGTCCCTTGTGAGAGGCCCGCTCCGCAGAGACTCGTCGCTCAGGGCATGGGGGTGCGGGGGGAGCTGGGGCGTAGCCGATCGAGGTGTCTGGGAGTACGCGGCGGGGCGCCGAAGAGGGGCCGCGCACGACGGCCCGTCATCTGGGCAGAACAGCCAGCGCGAAGACTAATACAGCACAACGCTGTCGCCGATGTCCACCAGGGGCGGTGACTTCCTGCTGGCCGGGGCGGCGGGATCGTGAGTGGGCACTCCCGCCTCTACGCCAAGGGCAAATTGCCGGTCCGCCGATACCATCCGAGCTTGGAGCGGCCTCGGGGGCGGGTCCTGGTGGCGCGCGGGGCGATCCAGCTCCTCGCTCGCACGGTGGGCTGGGGACTCGGTGCACAAGGGTCCAATCCCATGTCCAAGTCTCGCGGAAGGACCGGTTGCCCTGTTCATTAGCAGGCGTAACCGTGCGGCACGTCCACCATGCTGGGTGTACCCTCCCATGTACGAATCTGGCGGTTATATTCCCGCCCGCTGGGTGCCCCTGGTGTAGGTGATCGTGGGCGCCGCTCTAGCTTCTGAGCGGTAGCCTGACATGGCTACATTACCTGCTGGGGGAAGAAGCCGAGAGAGCTGGGGCACATATTGCTGCGGCGAGGTTTTGTGCAAGAGGGGCGCGGGTTTGTCAACGACGGCCGGGCGCGGGGGAAATGAGACAGGTTCGGACGGAGGAGGTGCCAGTGACCAGGCATTCATCCCCAAGGCGGGGCATGGATAACGCAGGTAGTGCAACTGCCAAGTGTGAGGAGGTGGACACTGCGGGGCACGTCAACCGTGGCATGCGCATGGCATGTCAACAACTGAGATGGATGCTGCTACCTTTGACCCCTTGTGTTTAGCCGAGCGCCTCCGTGTCCTATCGCGGTCAGGGCTCGTCGCCTGTTCGCAGGGACAACGGGCATGCGATGAGGGCGCTTCCCGACTGCTGTCGAGGGTGCACCCACAAGTAGTTAGTGGACTTTGCCTCGTGGGAGCGCGCAGGCAACCAGGAGGAGGAAGCATCGTCGAACACATCGTGTTCAGGTTGGCTCCGAGCCGCCACGCTGAAGCCCACGTCGGGTCAGTCCAGATCCACCAAGTTGGAGTCCCAGAGCTTAGCAGCTGGTCCTGACGATCCAGCCTCTTCGCCGTCAGGCGTCAGACGCACACCTGGGGCGACTGCAACTCCTTGGATCGCCGCCTCCTCAAGCTGCTGACGACTTAAGAGCGTCGGCGGTCGCCTGCAGGGGGCTGTGCATGAAGGTGGACGTTTTTTTGTTTATAAATTATTATTATTATTATTATTATTATTATTATTATTGTTATTATTTATTATTTATTATTACTATTATTATTATTGTTATTATTATTATTATTATTAGTATTAGTATGAGTATTATTGTTATAATATATATATATATATAAATTCGGCGATTCGACATTGGGCGGAAGGGGGGGTGCGAAGGCCCGCGCCGATCGACGTGGGCCAATTTTGCCACCGCGAGAGTCCTCTCTCTCGGCCAGCCGTGTCCCTCCCACGCGACGGACCACGGCAAGAAGGTTCTGCGCCGCCTCGCGCGCGGCGAGTTTCGGCTCGGGGCCAAGGTATTTCGGGTTGATTCGCAGACGCGACTTCGAGCGTCCCTTCTTTTCGTGCGTTGGCGTCCTGGCCGCGCACCCCAGCTGCCCGCGTTCGGTCTTCGGTCGCGGGCCCTGGGTCCTTTCTGGTTCCTTGGTCGGTGTCAGCCACCGCCGAGGTCGAGCCCACTGTGGGACTTGTCCGATCAGCGTGGCTAACGATGGTTGTAAGGTGCGTCCTAGCCACGCTCTTTACGGCTGAAGCGTCATAGACTCTGTGGCGCCTCAGGTTGAGCGCAGGAAGAGGATGAGGACGATGAGGAAGATGAGGAGGAGGATGAGGAAGAGGAGGAGTAGGAGATGGGAGGATGAGGAGGATGAGGAGGATGGAATAGGGACCGCTCAACAAAAGGATGGTTTCGCGCCAGTCTTTGCCGACGACGGGCGAAACAATTATCCATTTACTCAGAGGAGAAGGGAGCGTGGTCGGAGGGACTGAAGAGAGGAGTGCTCATAAGAAATACTTGTAGAGGGGGCAGGTGTGTGGTAGGCGCCGAGGCGATATCACCCTTCTCAAGCGACCGAGGCCGACCCGAGTGGTGAAACAATGAAAACAGCACGTGGAGGAAGCCTGAATGTAAACGCCCATGCGCGGGAGAGGAGTGGCCACAACACGACGTCATAGAAGGTTTCACGAGCCGGTGCAGATGAGGAGAACGGTGATCAGGATGGGGACGCGGCGAGTCGATGACGGAGGGCGGAAGAAGGAGGGGAATACTGAGGATGAGCAGGACACATATAAGGAGGATGAGGAGGGATGGGGGATGGGGAAGGATACGAGGAAAACAGCGGACTGAGGGCAACCTAAGCCTCGACGATCGTGTGATTCGTTCTCCTCCTGCTCTTTCTCAGCCTTGGAGGGGGAGGAGGATAAGGAGGAGGATAATTGGGAAAGAGGAGAGAGATGGACGAGGATGAGGCAGGGAGGAGTGCGGAGCAGGAAGGGGGAGCGATCGTCGCCACAGGGGCAGTCTGCGCCGAAGGCATGCGTGCCACACTGGAATCATGTGAATGCTGGTGTTGTGGAGACTCACCAGGGCCATAGGTGCCATGGTACGCCCGCTTTGAAATGCAGCACGCACCGTGTTCAACACGGCAGCGTTAACACGCTGCGTGTTGGCTCAACGTGTTGGCCCACGTTTTGGCGGATGTAACGCGCCATACGTATGTTTTTCAATCCCCGTGTTGAGCTTCGTGACAACACGCCACAGGTTGCGTGTTGCGTATCGGGGCGGGGGCTCAACTTTCCATCTCGATTGGCCCGCTCCCAAATTACTGTCGCCTCGGGGGGGAACTCTTGCTGCCGCCAACTTCCGGCGGCTTGCTTCCGCCGCAAGGTGCGGCGAAGAAGAGTCACCCACCTTGCGATCTCTCGAAGGTGAGCTCCTTCCCGGAACGCCCAACTCTCCGCGACGAGGGAGGGCCTGGGGAGGGGGAGAGGAGAGCGAGGACGAACCTCACCGCCCCCCACGCCTCTGGCCGCCCCCCAGACGCCTGCGCCACCTTCAGCGCGTGCGCCCGGACGCAGGCGGAGGAGGAGCCGCTCGGCGCCGCCAGGGCAGCCCTGGCCATCGGGACCTCGGTGGCGCCGAACTGCGTGAAGGAGACGGCGGCCAGGACCTCGGGGCCGGGCAGGGGCGGGGGGGGGGTGGCGGGGGCGGGGCGAGGGGGGCGGGGCGAGGGGGGCAGGGCGAGGGAGGCGGGGCGGGGCGGCCCTCCAGGACGGCGGGGGGCGGCTTCCGTCGGAAGCCCCTCGGAGGTCCCTCGGAGATCTTCCGGGAAGCCGCCGGCCCCCTCAGAAAGCAACCCGCCCGCCGTGGACCCGGGGGGCGGAGTCGTCGGCCTCGTCGCTGAGTCTCCTCCAGAAGGCGAGGGTAACAAGCGACACGGACCGGGCGCGGCGCGGAAGACCCGCAGACCTCCCCAGGCCTCCGGCGCCCCCCAGAACTCTCACGACGGCCAAGGTGCCTGAATTTGGGGCCTCTGGAGGCCCGTTCCGGACCCGGGGACTAGAAACCGCTTGTCCCAGAGATTGGGCGAAGAGCTCCAGGGCACACATCCTTCCAAAGACCACGATGGGGAGGTCTGGGAGCTCAGGGAACTCCGAGAGCCGGCGGACCCAGGTGGACGCACTGAGTGCCGTGGCCGTCTGCGGAGCGAGTTGTCGGCACTCGTGCCCTGAGGCCACCTGGCCGCGGGCCCAGATCTCCAACGTCGTGGCCTTTGCGCGGCCGGACATGGGCCCTGGAACTTTCGACCCAACCCCAGGGGACGGTCTTTTCGTCCCGGGTCGTTTTTGGTGAGGGCGTATTGCAGCATCGTTGATGCATCTTGGGCTTACTCTGGTTATCTTCGCTTCTCCTCCTCCTCCTCCTCCTCCTCCTCCTCCTCCTCCTCCTCCTCCTTCTCCTCCTCCTCCTCTTCAACTTCCTCCTCCTCCGCCCCTCCCTGCCTCCTCCTCCTTCTCCTGTGCAACTCGGCGTGTGAGGTTGGCTATCGCACTGCGACGGGAAATGCAGGGCCTGGCGTTGCAACCGGACTGGCCGAAATACTAGATCAGGAGTCCGAGTTCGAGGTTGAACCCGATGATCGCCCCTGCAAGGCTGTCGAGTTTGGCGTCGCCTTCAAGAGTGGCATGCGCCTGCTGGCAATCAATGGCTGCTGCGAGGCCGCCAGGTCCGAGCCGACCACGCTCTTGTTCCAGGACGGCCGGGCTTCCGACTTCCGGCCGCCCGCCGAGGGGCGCAATGTCGCGGCCTGCCTCTGCGGTCATCGTGACCAGGTATACCGGGCCACTCGGCTCAAGGACAATTCCTCCCAGCTGGCCTGCTACCCGCAGGCCGTTGGCACCGCCGCATGAGTACCTCTTTGCCTCATCCACCTGGGAGGAGAAGCTGGCCGCGCAGCCGCAGCTCCGCCCCCGCCCGCGCCACCCACTGGATCCCTTGCGGGGCTCCGACGCCGGAGCCGTAGCAGCCGCAGCCTGTGGCGCTCAGCCGCCCCCAGCGCAGCTGACGCCCCAGGGGGGGCCCGGGCCCCTGCCCCAGCGATGGTCGCCGGCCCCGCCCACAGGATTGAGCACGGCGCGCTTCGAGTCCCTGCCAGTCCCGCGGCCCAGTCAGAGCCCCGAGACGGAGTTTGGGACCACGGCGGGTGAGGAGCACGTCGTGGTGAAGGCCCGCATCCGCTGGCCTGAGGACCCCCGGTGGGTCATCTTCATGTGGCGGCGCGCACAAGTGGGTGGCGGGATGGGGAGGGCTTCTTAGAAGGAGGCTGCTTCTGAGAAGGCGCCGGCCTTACATCTACAGATAAGGCCCGCGCCTTCTAAGAAGCAGGGGTGCTTCTAAGAAGTCCTCCCGCCTCCCCCCTCCCGCCTCCCCCCACCCCCTCGGGCGTGGCCGATTCATCGGGGAAATCAGGGAGGCGGCCGAGACAGACTTCGACCTCGAGGTCCACGTCTGCAGCCAACGCGGCGAGGACGTCTACTCCAGCATCACCCCCCCTTGGCTCTTGCCGTCTCCAAGGGTCGGTGCGCAGGGCGACTGCCGGAGGGCTTCCCGGAAGAGCTCCTGCACCATCCACTCCTTGGCAGCCAGGAGCTCGGCGTGTAGGTGACAGCCACCACAGCGCCGCGCCACGTCCAGGTGAAGCTCGCCATCTGGTAGGTGCTGGTCGAAGGGAAGGCTCGCCCCCTCGCGCAGCGCCAGTGGGAGCAGCTCCAAGCCACGGACAGTCATCTGGTCCAGTGGCATCCTGAGGGGGCGGTGGCGGACACGCGCCCTTGTCTGCAGGCATCGGGGGCAGGGAGGGCCGAAAGGCCTAGAAGGAACACCTTTTCTCAACCAAGTGTGTGAGATAGCACTATCATTCAGTCCTCAGGCGCGAGTGCGCCCCAAAGCCAAATTGGCTGCGTAACCACTGTCGGTCACAAAGAGGCGAGGGGAGGTGAGGAAAATGAGAACAGCGGGACCACTTTCAGTGGGACCGACAGGGGCCCCGAAACATCACCGATCCCCCGAGACACCCCGGACATCTCGCAATAAGCCGGATCCTCTAGAGACCTCTCCTCACTCTCACGAGCCAGCTCCTTCCTCGAAGCCGTCCTTGATCGGCACTTCAGGGAGTTGTTGAGAGCCCGTTCCGACAAGTGGCCGTCTTCATCAATAAGACACAGTGTACCTCGGCAGAGGAGGTCGGACAACGCAAGGTTTCCTCGGCCGGGGTCCGCCTTCGTGAGCGCGTCTGCCGCCATTCGGCCATGAGGGACCCACCTGATCTGAGAACCTACAGCACACATAGCATCTCTCACCACAGCAAGTTCAATCGACGTGCGACGATCTTGCTTCGAGCCAGCACTATTCTTACTGAGAGTATCAAACACACACTTAGCGTCTACAACTGACAAAGAAGAGACATCATGAGCAAGTGTGCACTGAGAACTCAAGACAACAGAAAAAGGTGCCGACGCGAGATGCCAGTCGGGCCGATTCACGTCGGCAAAAACAAGATCCCTCCACATCACCTGGAGCCACTGCGCTTCGGCAAGCGCGGCCGACAAACTAAGAGTCTCGGCGGCGCTGGTGGATGACGCGACTCTCTTCAGACGAGCTGACCTCCAGGCCAAGAGCGAGGCTCTGGCACGGCGATTCCGACGAATCTCCGAATCCGCCGCGACGACGAGGAACGCTCCCTGGGCCCCGTTCCGACGAGCCGAACCCGGACCACCAGCATCAGAGATGGTGACAAACGTCAGAGACACCGGGTCCAGGGGCCACACCACGATATGCTGCGAAGCGGTAGCCTTCAGATGTCTCACAATCTTAAGGCAGACCAGGGCATCTTCCACGGTGGGGGTTGGAAGGGCGGCCGATTGCAACGAAGCTCCTCCGGACACATCCGGTCTGGTTTCTCGGGCAAGCCATTGGATTTGCGCCACCATGGTGCGATGTCCCTTCACTTCTTCGGGGGTCAAAAGGGAGGAGGGGTCCGCGCGCCTGTGTTTCTCGAGCCTCATGGGCGCGAGCTGCTCAAGCACGTACCCAGAGGTCGTAGAGTGGGTATGTCTACCAGACATAGCCATTCAAGTCTTAAGTCTTAACTTCAAGTCTTAAGTCTTAACTTCGAGTCTTAAGTCTTAACTTCAAGTCTTAAGTCTTAACTTCAAGTTAAGTCTACTGAGCAGGCCTTAAAGTTATATGTGCTAGCACTAAACATACGTTATAACGTATTTCCCCTCTTTGCGGGTGGCTGCGTTGGTTTGTTAGCGGTTGTGTCGTTCGAGATGTCCTTGCAATTTGTCGCTCGAGATTTCCTGGCGAGTTACGGGCTCTCGTCATAGGGATTTATCGCGCGTGGGCCGTCGCTCGAGACTTCCCCAGAGAGGGAGGGCAATCGCTCGAGATATCTTTGCGAATAGCGGGCGCTCGCTCGAGACATCCTTTCAGCGTTCTCCTCCACCTCCTCCACCGTTCCACTGCGACTGCCTTTTGCCCTGCGTTCTCGCCCTCTGCAGCCGTTCTGGCCCAAGGCGCGGTGAATTGCCCGCCATTTCAATATGGCGGGCTCTCGGGAGAGATTCAACGATATTGAGAAGCTCACCGCCGCGATTGCCAAGCATGCTACGAGGCCGAATTTTTTGAGGTACGGCACAGCCCCTGGGGAAGACAAGTTTACCAACGAATGTGTGCAGGTAGTTTTGGACCTTCACGACTTTGTGAAAGACTTGGAGGATGTATCTCCCAACATGAGTATGACGGCGGAAGTTGCCAAGAAGGCGTGTGCGAACGTTGTCCGTGAAAAGGCTGAGGAATGGGGTTTCACTGAGGCTGCAGGCGCGTCGTGGGCATCGGATACTTCGTTGAAGATCACCTCCATGATGAGGCACCTCTACAATCCTCAGCGACAGTTCAAACTTGGCCAAAAAGTTCCCAAGTGGTTTTCGGACCTGAAGAAAAAGCAAGGCGTGGAAGGCCCAATTGAAGAAGATTCGCAGCCTGCAGTCTCTCCCGCCCCTGCGCCGAAGTCGGCGGCGCCGAGTCCCGTTCCAGAAGTTCCTCCGGTACCAGAGATCGGCTACGACCGCCCCCAGGCCAAGGCATGGCGCAAATTTCGCCACGGCGCGACGGAGCTGAGTGAGAACGTCTTCGAGAAAGAGGGCTCGGAGTTCATGTGGGCGAAGTTCGGCGACGACGCCGAGTATGAGCTGTCGACGCTTACGGTCGAGGAGTACAGGAACCGAGGCGCGGAGGTGGTCAAGCCGAAGAGGACGTTGGTGAGCGAGAATCACAAGGGCGCGCAGCTGGAGATCAAAGAGAAGAAGCTCGATGCGCACTGGGGCATCATTTTGGCGGTCGACGGCGCCCAGAAGTTGCAACTATCGTACTACAGGTACGACAAGGATGAGGCGCTCGAGATCATGACACGGTTCTTGGCCGCCTACAAGAAGGGCAAAACCATCGAGCAGCTCAAAGAGATGAAAAAAAAACTTGATCATGAACACCAGCCGATGAAACGGCCAGCGGCAAGTGATGCGCCAGCAGATGGCCCTGCGGTATTCAAGCGTCCTGCAGCCGTCGCGAAGAAGCCCTCCAGGGTCGACGACGATGAGTTCGAGGGCGGCGAGGACGCGCAGGAGGATCCCGAGGAGGACGAGGCCATGAGCCAGGAGGACGAGGCCATGCTCGAGATCGACACGGTCGAGGTCGACGGCCTCGAGGTTCGCGGCGCTGCCGAGGGCCAGCAGGAGGCGAGCTATAAACGCACATTCCGCCCTCCTCCCCCTTTCTCCTCCTCCTCCCCCTCCTCCTCCTCCTCCTCCTTCTCCTCCTCCTCCTCCTCCTTCTCCTCCTCCTCCTCACCTTCCTCCTCCTCCTCCTTCTCCTCGTCCTCGTCCTCCTCCTCCCCCTCCTCCTCCTCCTCCTCCTCCTCCTCTTCCTCCTCCTCCTCCCTCTCATTCGAGCCTCGCGTTCAATCTGACGCGAATGTTCAGGGAGTGGTTTCCACTCATCCTCGTCTTGATCGAGGCCCCTCCTCCTCCTCCTCCTCCTCCTCCTCCTCCTGAGGTGGCTCCAAAATCGAGCGTCAATTTTGTAACGATTTTTGACGCTCCATTTTCGGCTCCTCCACCCTCCTCGGATCCTCTACCTAGATCCTCCTCCTCCTCCTCCTTGTCCTCAACTTCCTTCCCTCTCTTCCCCTTCCCTCCTCTTCCGACTCTGACTCGTCGTCGTCGTCGCCCTCCTCCTCCTCCTCATCTGCCTTCTCCTCCTCCTCCTCCCCCTCCTCCTCGTCCTCCTCCTGGGTCAGTCGGTTGGGCCCCTCCTCCTCCTCCTCCTCCTCCTCCCCCCCTCCTCCTCCTCCTGGGTGAGTCGTTCAGATCTCATCCAGAGGGATCGAGAAGCCCGAGCGACTCACCCAGGAGAAGGAGGGGGACGAAGAGGAGGAAAGGGATGCGGAGGAGAAGGAGGAGGAGGAGGAGGAGGAGGAGAGAGAAGAAGGAGAATGAGGAGGATCAGGGGTGAAGGAGGAGAGGGTGAGGAGGAGGAGGAGGAGAAGGAGGAGGAGAAGGAGGAGGAGGAGGAGGAGGAGGAGGAGGAGGAGGAGGAGGTGGAGGAGGAGGAGGAGGAGAGGAGGAGGAGGAGAGAGGAGATGGAGGAGGAGATGGAGGAGGCGAAGGAGGAGGGTGAGGGTGAGGATGAGGGTGGGGAGGCGAAGGGGGGGCCCCCCCCCGCTGACGGAGGGGGAACGGATGGACAGAAGGCCGAAAATGGAGCGTCAAAAATCGTTACAAAATTGACGCTCGATCTTGGAGCCACCTCAGGAGGAGGAGGAGGAGGAGGAGGAGGAGGAGGAGGAAGGGGGGGAGGAGGAGGAGGAGGAGGTGGAGCAGGAGGCCCCCCCGTGCCCCGAAGGACATCGTGCTTAAGAAGCCCGCGGCCAAGAGACCCGCCGCTGCCGCGGACGACGGAGCTGGCGACGAGGGCGCCGCGGAGACCGCGGAGGCGGAGACCGCGGAGCCCGCGGAGCAGGGCAGCATGCCCGCGCCCAGCGTAGGCAGTCTGTACTCGAAGTTGTTTTCGACCCAGTGAGGCTCAAAACATAGACTGGGCATCCCTGAGTCCGAGGGGCCAGATTGATCTCCCAAGGGCCTGTCCTCCTCCTCCTCCTCCTCCTTCTCCTCCTCCTTCTCCTCCTCCACTTCTCCCCGTTCCTCCTCCTGCCCCTCCTCCTCCTCCTCGCATCTCCCTTCCTTCTCATCCAACCCTCCTCTTCGAGGCCCTCGCAAGTTTCCTCGATAGATGTTGTCAACCGTTGTTTGCTACATCGCTGCTCCATCGCTGCTGCATCGCTGCGCCATCGCTGCACCATCGCTGCGCCATCGCTGCACCATCGCTGCACCATCGCTGCTCCTGGCTGCACCATCGCTGCTCCATCGATGCCTGCTGCGGGGTCCCTCGGTAGATTCGAACGGCATTTCGACGCGCAAAATCCCATCGGGGCCTCAGCGAGGCCCCGACTTCCAGCTAGACGGTAGCCAATCGACCACACATGGTGGAATTCTGTCGGACTTGTGTTGGGGCCGCCGCCGTTTTAGTTCGAACGGTTTGAAAAGGCTTCGAGGGTCGGCCGTTTCGATGGCGTCGACGCGCAGCCCCACCGCCAGCCCAGAGCCTGGGCCTCGCGCTCGCCGCCGTCGCACGCTGTCGCCCACGCCGATCGCCGAGCGCCAGCACGCGACCCAGCACGACAGCCA